AAAAACACGTTCTAAACTACACAGAGAGACACTCTGTCGCGGTCGACTGTTATCAAAAATTCCACTAACCCATCCAGAAGGGATCGTAAATCCTGTTTCGGTGGAACGATCGTGAAAACGTAGAACCAGGTAGTTTTCCAGTAGGTATGCAGTTGTACGAATCTGCTGGTCCAAGTAGGTAGGAAAAAGAGTCGACACACACCGAGGGATCCCGATCGAAAATGTTTCGATCGTTGTTCCACCGTTGGATGGATTACGTTCCAGCAGCGAGCGGTTTCCAGCGGGCTCTCACCAGGTTCAATTAGCAGCGGCGATCGGAGCGAGAATCGGCGCGCGAGAACACAAGCAGCATTGACGAGGACGGCGACGACGAGCAAGTGCGCTCCACGGATCCAGACGTTGGGACCGCTCGGCGACGCTCAACCGTTCTGGTGTAATCGAGGCGATATACACACGGCCGATGCGGTTTCACGGTAGAGACAGAACGAGATAGAGAGAGAGAGAGAGGTAGAGAAAGAGAGGGAGGGAGACAGAGAGAGAAAGAGAGAGAGAGGGGAGAGGGAAACGGAGAGAAAGAGAGAAGGGTTACATCAGATCACCGAGACACGCTGCACGTTTCACAGGCGAGACGACAGACCGATCGAGAACGGATCTCTGGTGTTCGGTTGGGCCGCGCGAACGCCGACGACGACGACGACGAGTTGGAGGCCGACAAATGGGCGTCCGGATCCAGCTGGGCACCACGAAGCTGGCCCGATTCGACACGAGAGACCATGGCGTATGTGCACGAGCCGAGCCGGACCGCCACGGCACGAACCGGTGCGAAGGAAACCTTCGACGTCGCGAGAGAGTGTGCGAGAGAGACCCGAACGGGGCCCAATCTCACTAGAGGGGACCTCTATAGCGCCTTTCCTCTAACTCCGTGCTCGACGCGTGCGTGCAGCAACTGCCGGAATTCTACTATCCCCGTGACGTTTCTCGAAATCTTTTTGGTGTGTTCGTCTTCGACCTTGTTGCAGTTCTGCTTCCTTCTTTTTCTTTTTTTAAAGACACTTTTGTTAACTTTGTTACGTTGTTCGGTTGTAGAGACTGGTTCGAGATAAACGACGAGTTAGAGAGTAGAAATTGGTTAAACGATGCTTCTTCGTGGGCTTAACGAGGATTGTGTGATTTCGGTGGTTACGTGTGGTAAACTGTTTTATTTATTGTCGAATTTTGTTCAACGAGGAGTAGATACGTTTTTGGCGGGAACTCGCTGAGATTCAAGTGTGAATTATCGACGCGACGCGTGGATCGGTCTTGTGGATGTTTTTTGGTGATCGTTTTAATTCTCTCGTGATTACGATGATTAATCCAAGGTGTCGAGAATGAGTTTGCATGGTGTAGATGTACGACAGAGGGTAAAATAGCAGTGTAAACTAACGCGAAATCGCCGGGACAAGCAAAGTCGACTATATTGCGTTTCTGATAACTCTGATAACTTCGTGCACGAAGAAGTTCGCGGTAGAGTGTAAACATTCTTCCATTTCAAAAACAGTGTTCCGGACGAATGATTGTATTTGCATTACATGTGACAGATAAAAGAAATTCGATGCTCCTCTGTTTTTTTAGTACGATTTATTTTCGAATAAATTTTCGATTGCCAAATTGATACAATAGCATGCGTTTAATTTGAAATCAGTTGTATGGTATTACAGTTTTTCTCGAAGCGCATTCATCGCGAAACGCCAAGTTGTTCCAACAACTTTTTGTCGAATTGATTCTCCTTTTCTGAAACGTGCGCAGCGTTAACCCGCTTGAAAAGCGAAATATCGACTCACAGATTTAATTACGGTTCGGTGATTTATTCGGCGCACCTTCGCATAACGTGAACAACATTTTTATCGATATTTCCTTTTTTTTTTAATAATATTCATTTAACCAAATTAAATCGATTTGCACGCTAATTTTGATCTACACACCTTGCACACAAATTTTCTTCTAATCTTGCACGTAATATGTATATCCATTTTACTATCAATTGTACGTGCGCAAGCTTCACTCTAAAATTCCAGATAAATCACGCTTAGACAATAATGGAAAAATTCATTTTCTCGTCTTAACGACCTTTCAGCTTGTCGATATTTTTCAACAGCAAACACACGTCTTCATCACCGATCTTCCCACATGTTTAAAATTAATTTCCTTCTCGTTCTCTCGAAGTTCTTCAAATACTTCATTCGACGCATTATTGAAGTATACACGTTCATTATAAGCAAATGATTATCATTCGCATATTGAAATTACAGCCTCTCCGCCTTCTTAAGCTGCTTCCCGTTACAATGGGGCAACGCGTTAACTTATCCCCCGATTCGACCATTTCGCGTAAGCATAGGCAAAGTCACGTGCCAGCTCTTCATTGAAAATCTATCGGTGTTGACTTTACTAACTACGTAACGGCGTCGCCACGAGACTTTACCATTCACGAGGTCGGGATATGCCTTGAAGAATGGAAACGGCGGCAACGTTGTACGCGATGCTTTCAACCGACACCTAAATTGAGAACCAGTTTAAGGCTAATTCACACTTACGAGACACTCGAATCAACTGTCACATTGTAATTTGCTAGGCAAACGTTCGTCTTTTCTCGGATCTCACTGACACCAGAAAGAAAAAAACGATTCAGGTAATCCCTTCAAGGCCTACGTTTCACGTCACTCGGTTAACATTTAGCGATGGGTAAGAAAATTTCATACGCATTGTAAGATCTACATTTGTCATTTTGCAAATCATGGCTCATCGGAAAATGAGAAAAGTGAAAAATTTTCTACGCGATGTCCGAAGAGTAAATACTTTATTTCGTTAAAAATTGCCCAAGTGTGAATCGTGCTTTACAGTCGCCCTCTAGAATTGTCGTCGACGAACCAACATGGTGGCGAACTATCTTAGAAAATGATAGATAGGAATGGCCGAAGGGAGGACGGAGAATTTTGATGGTCCGAGGTATTGAGAGAGGCTTCACGCATTCGTACTCACATATTTATAGCTTTTGGACTAGCCGGCTTCCAGAGACTATGGGACGCATCTGTTGCTCTAGGATTGCCGCTACACATCCCGTGTGTTCTTCCCGTAACTTGTATGGCAACGTAGCGCTCTTCTTCCCTCGAGAGAGTAGCGATGGATGCAATATCCACGATCCCCTTGATATTAGATATGCCTACAATAACGAGCAGTTCCACGTACTTGTAGATCGAGTGCCAACTATGGTATAAATTCTTCTCGTTGCAGTGGTTCCGATCGAAGATACCATTACTCCCACATTATTCCTCAGACTGACTTAGTTACGGTAATATTTCTTTGACAAATCTTCGGATCTTCTCTTTTCCATTCGATGACACCATTGTTGGTCCATTCTTCTTCTGTTTCTTGGGATAATTGAAGTTGGTTAGGAAGTGTGATAGAAATGAAAACACAAGGGAGGAACGATCAGTTTTATTAAGATTCCAGTAGATTTAATACAATAATCCTTCTTCGACAAATTTTTGTCTCCTTCTTCTTCCATTTCTTCTGATAATTGAAATTGAGTAAAAAGTGTGGTATAAATGAAAACGCAAGGGAGGAACGATCATTTTTATTAAAATCACAAAATTACATCGATAGAGTTCGATTAGAATTGATTATCGCGCAGTCAAAATACGAAGCCTAAGATCGTCTCGTTGTCCCGCGAAGGAATACCTCGTCCATTACGCAGTACGCTATTGTGTCCGATGACTGTAGGAATTTAAAAGGCTCGTTGTGTGTTCTACAACGTTCCATTGAATAGCGAGCCTCTTGACATTCCGTTATTAGTGTCCCATCGAAGAATCCACCGAGTACATCATTTGAAACAACAACCGTGTTGTTGCTTGCAATTGTACCACTTAAGTGGAATGAGTTTTGTTATTTTGATAAGCATTTATACCTTACAATACCATACTCCTGCGTGACATTCGTAAGTTAATTCGCGAACAAACTCCAATCTCCATGTTCTTTCCACATGATTACTACAACTATAACTTCGTTGTTTCATAGGCTTCGTTGTTAACAGTGTCAGCGCGTACCCAATTAAGTTGCAACTTCCTACCAGTCGTATTTACGCGATTTTATGCGATTCAACATTTAACGTATTCAAAAGGGTGACTGTATTATCAGTCAGAAATCTTATCTGGTTTCACGCGGTTTATTTGCATTTGCGGTACCAAAATGGCTGCTCGCCGCGGAAACCGCAGGCAGGTAATCCGAAACCATTGAACTACATTTTCCACGGGTTAATCACCGACAATGCTCGACTCTTGGTAATATGCACATGTTAACTACGACACTTTTATCCTTCCGTTGTCAAGGTACGCTTTACTAAACGGCCATGTTCCTCCGTCGTTATCTGCCATTGTGAAACGCGTACAGTCTTGTTCGTACTTTGCACGAAACATGTTTCACATATGCACAAATAACAATCTTTCTTACGACAGAAGATTTTTCATCTCTTCCTTAAAACTGTTATCTTCCCAGAAAGGACATTTTTGAAATAGATTGACAATTTCAGCTTTCAGAGTTACGTTAAAAATTCTTTCCTAAAGAATCATGATTCTGAATCTAAACTTCACAGAAAGGACATTTTTTATTTAATACATAAAACTGTAAGAGATGCAATATTTTTTTTATGGAAATAGATTGACATTTTTAGCTTGAAGAATTATGTTAAAAATTCTTTAGTGAAGAAAATTGATTCTGTACCCAATTTGATTAAAGTGAATATTTCCACTGTCTAATGAATGAACTTAATGTTCATATTTAAGTCCCTCTGACTTCCTGCATTTCGTTACGGAACCAGAGCTTCGCAATCTGTTAAAAAATAAATTCTGTCGGAGTGAATCTTCCAAGTTGAGTACAAAACGTATTCAAACAGCCGGCATAGTGATTCTCCTAGAAAGTGGAGGGGATCTGAACGCTGCACGGCGCCATTAACAGTACGCTGACTGACGCGTGCATGGCACCATTTGCTGACGGTGGAGTATTTTCCAAATGGTTAAAATATTTGAAATTTGGTGACCGCGGCCCGAGAATATCGCAGCAGGGAATTCACACGAAAAATTAATTTTCTTTGACAAACGTAAGTAAAGATGAAGAACAATATCCTACTAAAATTGCATCTGATAGACGACTCCACTTAGAGTAGAATATAAATTGACTCGTTAAAACGCCAAACACCAAATTCCATAAAGAAATGAAAATACAAATTCATATTTGATCTGCGTAACTGTGAGAAACGCAATTAGTTTAACTACAGATTCATTAGCATCTAGTTCCTAGAAATTACCACACTTCGTACGTGTTCTGGACAAGTTTTCCTCGTTCGTAATTATGGTGGTCAATGTTATTGATTTTGTGGGTTTTAATTAGGCAATTTGTGGTTCGTTGATACGTGACTTGCATTGGTGATTTAAGTTTTCAAGTTGAATGAAAAGGTAAATTAAAAAGAAAGTCTTCGTTGAGTTCGTTTGCCCAATGGTATTTCCCAGCTTATGGGATTTGTAAGTTGGTAGACCTGTTGCGCGTCAACGCCCAAGCATTGAATGCACTAATAACAACAAGTGGGTGGTATTTATCGGTTGAATCATCCGCCTTCTCTAGTGGCTAATGAGCGCGACAGTAGTCGTTGCACGTGAATTTTTGTTTCAGCAGAACCATAGCCATGTTTCAGTCTTGTTGGTCGCCGTTTGTTTGGACTAACAATGTCAAGACAGGATGCAAAGCCATTGCTTGTTATACAATTGTATGTATTTAATTATTTTGCTGGAATAAATGTTGTTTTCTTCAATATTTCTCTGTTGATTAATACATTGTTGTAATTTTGTTTCAGGCAATTAGTATAATAATTATTACATTAATCTGTTATCAATTAAATGGAGGTGATTCCACTCAGTTGTATAATCCTCTTTTTGAGGCTGATGTCAGAGGATGTAAGTTATAAAATGATGTAGTAACGGTGTATGTTATTTGCTTTATATATTATACAGCTGATTTTGTAGCTATGCAAGTTGTTGGAGGATTCTTCATCTTTTATTTTATTCTGCTGATTACATCAGGAGGTTTGATGGTACATGGACTTAGAGAAGGAGTAAGAGGATGGCTACTTCCTTGGCTTATACTGTGGTTCATTGCATGTTTGTTTCAATTAGTTTTTGGACTGTGGCTTGTAGGGGGCTACTACATCTATGTGAGTTTTATATGTTTTGTATGTACCTTGTGCCTAAATTTCCTGAACTAATATTTCAATATTATATTTACAGCTTGATGCCACATTTGCTGCAATGTGTAATTGGTTCTGGATGTCGTATAATGTAAAGAAAACTAATTCATTTTTTTTGTCACATTTTTAATTATATCTACATTAAGTTCTGTCACTTAATTCATTCTCTTTGCAGATATACTGTTGGTTAGTTGTCCTGTCGATGTACAAAATATTTGAGGAATTGCAATCTCCAAATATAGAGCTTCTGTGGCCTTAAGTAGCCGTATAATACTAACTATAAGAGATAGAGTACATTGATTGGCACCAAAGTAAGATACAGTGTTTCTACAGATGCATCTACAACTTTCTACTTTGTATATTTCTTCGAAGACAAATGCTTATTCAGATAAATAATTATTTAAAATAACTTAAATCAAACAAAAACAATATTGTTTGCCATGTGTTCAACTTGGTTATAATTATTTATTGTAACATATTTAATACTACGGATATTATAAACACATAAGTACCAAGTACCATACTTAAGTGTCATTAATGTACAATTAATTTCATGTTTTGAAAGTTTAGAACTTTCACGTTTTAATAGAAGACTGATAATGGTCTAAGAAACATTTCGTCCAAATTCCAGAGATCTTTATACTTTTATTGACAAATGTATGCAATAGAATTTTATAGTTGGTTGCTTTACACAACCACACAAAAGTATTTGTAACAAATGGAAGCGTTTATTATGTATTTTTATATAAAACAATATTCTACAACGTTTGTAAAGAAATTTTTTTACGTTTGGTACAAATAAAAGAAGTAAAATCAACATATGCATCAAATCAAAACACGTTACTAACACGACGAAACTTACTGTAAAAATTAGAAAACCCAAATGAGATTATTTATCGTACTATTACAAAAGTGCGTTACGATTAAATTGTAAAACGAGAGAATAACAAATTCGAAATAAAGAGTAATGGTCAAAGTAAAAAATTTCCATTTTCATTAAAACAATTGCCTACATACTTCTACGATGCAACATAATGGTGACGTTAGAAATTTCGAATTCATGTCGTCAGATAATAGGGAAGAAAAATTTTAACAACGTTACAATATTACCTTGATCAATGACTCAAAAAGTAGGTTACGAAGTAATATTAATAATTATGCCACTCACGTGTTTAATATTAGCTCAACAGTGAACAAACAACAAAAAACAGTCGAAGGGCGGCAAAAGTCGTACCACGAGCAATAACAACACGTACGCCACACTAAAGGTGAGCAAGCGCCATCTACTAGGGCGTTCAGAAGTACGGCAAAAAGTACGAAGATAAACGCGCGAAAGAAATATATTTTCAAATACAAAATACGTACTTCTATTAAAAAACACAGTAAATATTCGTCAAAAGTTTATTTCAATCTTTTCAATCCTCAGATATTTCAAATACATGGTAAAAAGTAACGAATTCACGTATTCCTCACAAGCTAGAATACACTTATGACAGATGGCGCAAAGATGTACTCAACGCTATTCTCGTAAAGATCGTTCCACAAAAAACACTTCAAATTGCCTAAACATAATTGCACAAAATCACTGATTAAAGAGAAGAATCTCAAAATACCCTCGTTCGCTAAATCAATTAAAAAACATATCTCAGATCCACCGATAAAATTCAGGCGAATTTCAAATATTCAAAGCGAATACACGAAGGAAAAGCGTTCATTTTCGTATTTTTCAGCAAATCTAATTTACCCGCTAATCGCTTCGAACGAAGATTTCTCTCGGTGATACGTCAATGCTGACACGAAAGTAAATGACACAAAGTTGATCTATCCGCGGAGCCAGGTTCGCGGTAAGATCCTAGCGTAAAATACAAACTTGACGGAATTACGATTCATCGATCGTACGAGCAGCGGTCATTAGAAGAAACTAGACGCTTTCTAAGCCTCTCTCAAGTTGTCCCGTACCCCGTACAATGATTAATGACGATCCGAGAAATCCTCCCTCGTGGACCACCGTGTTCGCGTCTGTCGATGCCGATATTAATGGACCGGCGCTAGTGAAATGTTTCGTATCTTACGTGTAATTAGCGATTCCGGCTGTCTTCGAAGGAGAGAGCGTGCGCGCGGCTGACAAATTTTCACGAAGCGACGCGAGAGCCTCGCCGCCCATAGAAATTAAAGATAAGGATCAGCGTCGATTACGTAAAACCGTTTTGAGAAAGTTTTATTTATTATCCTTCGTTAATAACGACACCGAGACGAATAATCCCGATGAAACGAAATTAAACTCGTTACTCGTCCGTTTCATCTCTCTCCTTGATCGAGACCGTTCCGTAAGTTTCCGAGTATCCTCGGAGTGGAAATTTTAACGATTTACTTTTGGTACAGAATTCGTCAATTGTCCCAATTCGATATTACCCGGAATGTTATATTTTTTTCTTCAACGATTCTTCATTCAGCTTCGAACGAGGAACGATTAACGGAGAGTGTAAAACGTTTACGTTTCGTAGAATGGTCGAACAGCAAGGAAAGGGTATCGAGAGAAGAAAACTTACGTGTATTTCTTTTTCTCTTCTTTCTTCTTTCTACCAACGTGACTTTCGACTGTCGACAATGGTTTCGTGAAAGATGGTAGGCATAATAATGTACAATCTTTATTGTCACGACGATACTTTCACTTCTGAACCGACCACACCCGAGGCAATCGATTGCGATGATCATAAGCACCTATAAGTGTTCGAATAACATTTACCTGCATTTACAACCGTTCAGTTCTGTTCGAGTAACGAAATTAATTGCGAGGTAGAACTACTCGTTTCGCAATGCCTTAACCTTATCGATTATTCGAGAGAGAAAGTACGTTCCGCGTTGACGTGAAAATTTACAGGTTCCTGTAAAATGAACGAAAAAAACACTTTCGTCCAGAATTTCGTCGGTATTATACGCGTATTATTTTTAATTAATCAATAATCTACCTGCGATTATAAAACATCGAAAACGATGCTAATTTACAAAAATGTCGTAAATTCCAAAATTGACTCGTTCATAATTTCGTTAATAATACTTAAACGTTCTTAATAGAATTAAATGATGTATTAAAAATGACGCTAATTTACAAAAGTTTTGTAAACTGAAAAATTGCGGTTTTTTGAATTTACTTTTAGATAAAAATGTTTTACCGTAAAATGGTAACTTGTTTCTTGTATTTCAAAGAACCGGAAAGGGTAGTGGTCGATGGTTTTACAATATAACGATAAGTACTGTCGCGAAATAAAGGGCATAGAATTAGAACGAATATACGGATGGCCAAGATTGGCATTGAATACTCGTCGACAAGGAGTTTCACGATTGTTTGTTGCGCAGGTAGCATTTCTTGCAGCGGCCGTCTTTCCTTTCCCGATAGCTCTACATGCGCATACAGCCGCATTAAATTGTAGGCGGCACAGAAGCGCTGATAAGACTGATATCGTGCACGAGGTGTCCATAAATGGCGCGTAAAAGTATGAATGGAACATTCTTCTTCCACCGATAAAACGACGAGAAAATGCCCTATGCTTCTTTACGGCTTCCTTCGAATCACGTATTCGCATATCAAGGATACTACCAACGGTAACTGTTGTGTGACGAATTATTAAATGGCTTCTTCAGTGTACCGTTCAATTTAAACGATCGACTTTTTGGGTGTCTTTGACAATGCTCGTTGATGACTCTCTAATTTATTGTGTTTGTACGGTGTTGTCATCTGAGGAGAGATTTTAAGGATTTCCATTAAGTGTGCCATTATTTGGATACCTTTTTTGTGTATTTTAAGGATTCCCTTTAAATGTGCCATTTTTGGGGGGGATTTTTTTGTATATTTTAAGGATTCCCTTTAAGTGTGCCATTATTTGGATACCTTTTTTGTGTATTTTAAGGATTCCCTTTAAATGTGCCATTTTTGGGGGGGGGATTTTTTTGTATATTTTAAGGATTCCCTTTAAGTGTGCCATTTTTTGGGCATTCTTTTGTATATTTTAAGGATTCCCATTAAGTGTGCCATTTTTGGGGTATTTTTCTGAATATATTTTAAGGATTCCGATTAAGTGTGCCTTTTTTCGGACATTTTTCTCTATATTTCAAGGATTCCAATTTTCTATATATTAAAATATTTCAATTTTTGTTTTGCAAGTTATACTCACAACAATCTTAGGTAAAAAGAAATTCACTATCTGTAGTCACCAAGCCAAAAATATGGAAAATTCTTGGCACAATTTGGCCTTAAGAATCGAGGCTACCTTGTCCCAAAAATTTTTCAAATTTGCCCCAATCTGACCCCAAATTTGACCCAAAAGAACCCACTTCGATATAACTCCCAAATACAAAAAATTCCACAGTGAATAAACAAATAATATATTTAAAAGGGTCAAACAAAGTATCACAAAGTATCCACCAGAATGCAACAAAAAAAAAAAAAGTCAAGCTACCTATATCCAATAAAAACGAAGAAACGTTGAAAAACACTGTTAATCACAATCTAACCCCTGGTTGCACAAACTGACCCCCGATGACGGTACGATATTTCAACGAAAGTGAAATGCAGCATTAGACACTTTGCTCCGGCGCTAGAAACACAAACACAATATTAAAATCCTGCCTAATGATAAATCGACGAATAGCAACCGGAAAAGGTGTTGGCACGAACGGCGAAGTTGCTGTTACGAATATCAACTCGTATCGTTAAAGTGTAATCGATACGAAATAAAGAAGCGAGATAGGTGTACGCGTGTCGTTATAAAAGTGGTTACAAGATCGTTCGAGCCAGTCCCGTGGCCGTGCAAATGGAACGAGACGAATTCTAACGATGACACTCGCTCGTTCGTAGGTCCCCGCGTTCTCCAGATCGAAGGTGTCAGATAAGCTTTCGAGAAGGCTTGAAACTTTCGCTGTTCGCTGGTTGCATACCGCGTAACGAGACGCGACAGAGTTAATTATTGTTTCAGTTATTGCGAGAACGCTCGACACTCAAGACCATCGCGGCCTGAAAAAGAGAATTCGTGGCGAGCTTATGGTAATGCACGGTTAACGTGCCGGCGTTCCTTCCAGAGATACAAAGAAGCGAACGGAGAACCGGAACGTGCGATCGAAGTTGTCAAGATCGCTTTGGAGTAAAAGAAAAGCTGAAAGATTACGTTACGTTGAACGAAGCAAATGTGCAGCTTCCAAGAGTTCATCGATGCAGTCATGTGCTCTAATTATTTACATATGTTGCCGCTAGCAAGATTGTGGTACAATTTGCGCACCACTTGTCTGGCAATTTCCAAGTCACATTCGCGGTGCAAATTCCAATCGTGACAAATGGTAATTGTATTCGTGATGAAGTCAAGCTTCGATTC